GTGTGTTTATAGTCATGAAAAGAATCTTAAACTTCTGAGATGAAGTGTTTTAAATCTAAATGAAATAAAAATCTCATACAATTTAGACTCAGAAGTAATATTTCAGCTGAATGGGAGATACCATAAAATTGTTTTAATACATTCTCCAAATAGTATTACTATTGGAAAAAAATATCTTACAAAGATAACATCTCCAAGTTATTATTTATTCCAAAACAGATAAAGGTTTTCAAATTAACTTTAAAACATGATGTTACTGTAATATGATCCTGGTTTCTTTTCATTTTCTCTTAAAACTTTTAAAATTTAAGTTCTAAAATGACAAAATATATATAGTATTTTATTAATCTTTATTTATTCTAATAAATTATACTCTTTATATTAAATATATGGATTGTAAATGAGCAAATATTCATGCGATACTTATTTTATGTAGGTTATCGTAAGAATAGTGTAAAAAATAAAGGCAGTATCTTCATATACTCATCTTTATCAGATTGTACATTTACTGTAATTTATATGTATATATACACACATTATAGTTAAATATTTATTAAATTACCTAGTTTTAGCTAATAATTGTCTAACCATCATTAAATGTCTTAAAATTTCCTAAAAAAATAGTTCATGAATTACAAGTATTTCTAATAATGCAAACAAATGAGGCAAAACAATTGTAAAGTTAAAACTTCTCCTTATATGAGCAGTTCTTCATGGACTATAAACTATGGCCTACATTCCTTATTTTCAATGTTGAATGTTAACCCATGTGAATAGCAAACCTTTATTTGCTAGCCAACAATTACCTGAAATTATCATCCTTAGTATACATAACACCTAACAGTTTTGTATATATTTGAATATATATAAAATCTATTATACAAATAAATATATAAATAAATAAGTATAAATATAGATAGATAGATAGATTATCAGAGGCACTTAATCACTGATCCACATCCCCAACCCTGTTCTTTAATTTTAATTTTTTAATTTTAATTTTTAATTAAAAAATACTTTTTCAATTTAGATACACTTTCTGAGGGCCTCCCTAAATTGCTGAGGTTGGCTTTGAACTGGTGATTCTCCTACCTCAGCCTTCTGAGCCACTGTGAAAACAGGCATGCTCCACCATGCATGGCCTATTATTGAACTTTTATCACATTATTTTTAAATCATCCCATTTATATTTTAGATAATTTATTCATATGGTTAAAATTGTAAAAAGTTATTAAAGAGACATCTTTAATGCTGTCTCCATTCATTCTTTATGTTTTTGCCATTTTCTGCGATACTTTTCAAGTATGCTTTTATTTTTGAAATAAAGGCTCTCTTTGCTATTAATTTGGAGAGATGGAAACAGGCCCAGTTTTACTTCTGTGCTTAAAACTAAAGAAAAACAGGACAATCTTGAAGTTATTATAGAATTAAAATCACAGTTCAGTTTTACCCAATGCTAAAGAAAGATATGTGTCTGTTGGAGGAAAAGGGACTGCATTATTTGTTTATGTGGAACAGGCATCGCCACACACAATAAAACTGGGTAAGAAATTAAAAAAAAAATTACAAATGGCCAAGTGTGGGCTAGTGTGAGACTATGAAGGCATATTTTGTTATACTGGATTTGGGCTTTAAATATACTTTTATTTTTATTGCAATATGGTAAGTGAGCCTGTGTATGTCGTTAGAAGACTAAAAATATGTCCAAATGTGAATGTAGCAATTATTGAAGTAGCAGATTGCAAATATTTACAAGAAAAATTAATCTGACTTCTCAGTTTGAATTGCAGTTTACAAACATCAGTATAAATCAGCATCCATGAAAGCATGAATAGGTGCTAGCACAGTCTGTTTTCATTATCAGTATCCTGACATGGTGTTGCTCAGAAAGATCTGTAGGATTTAACAGGTGGGGACATTTGGTACCAAATGAATTCCTGGTTGGAGACAGTCACCAAATTGTCAAAACCGTGACACATTTCAAAAATATATGAATAGGCTTCCTCTGAAGATTATAAAGCATGTGGTTTGGTTTGTTGCTCTACAATAGTATAAAACAATGCAATTTTCCAAAATACAAACTCTTAAAATTACAAAATATGAATACTTCAGAGCAAATGCAGTTGAACTTGATACTACCTCAGAATCTGCATCAGGTGCATTTCTTGACTGAAGATTTGAACTTGCTGCCACTACTGTGCAACTTTGCTTCATATGCACTGTTCCTTACACACCTCAGTGATTTATCTTCTGACTATAAACATTTTCTTTCAAAATATCTTTATTTTTTAAAGAATGCCAAAGGAAGCAAATATACTCTAGAAAATATCCATGACTCAGGGTAGGGTTGCTTCTGACTAATCAACCCCTTCATTTCCAGGCAAAAATAAACTCTTAGTACACTTTATTAATCTCTTGATCCATAAACACTATTTTACTACAGTGAAAAAAGAAGTAAACCTTTCTGCAATCTAGCCAATTTCAGTGCCTTTATTCCTTAGAATAGAATACCTTCAAGATCACTAGTTTTTGTTCCTCCTTGAAAACTCAGTACATTGGATCATTCTTCTTGTTTAGGACTGTACCCAGTAACTATGGAGGGGGGAGCTGAAGGATTCAGAGCATCACTCCTGTGACATAGGTTTGTATAGAGGTCTGATGTAGCACAGTTGGAGAAGGGTGGGGAGCTTTGGAGACAGCAGGGACATTCCTCTGTTTTCCTCTCTAGGTCTCTCCCAGGCTTAATCTTCTCTGTCCAACACACCGGGAGGCTGCTGTCTCTGTATGTTGCATTATTCAGGCTTCTTTGCATCTAACTTTTCATATAGTCAGGTCAATGGAAAGCACTTTCTGGAGATCAGGGACTGTTTTATTCCCTGTGGAATACAATGATTATTTTAAAATGATTGTGAGGCCTTACCACATCCCCAACTGTTCCTCTTTCCAGATTCTTGTAATAGTTTTTGATGGCTGCACAGGTGCTAAGCCCTAGCTATTTTACTATCATTTGTTGTTTTCCCTACCTCTGCCCACACTTCTGGAAATAACCCCTTGTTGAACTTATCTATCATCTATCTGTCTATCTATCTATCTATCTATCTATCTATCTATCTATCTATCTATCTATCTATCTTTCTATCTCTTCAAATGTGCTGCTTCATGTGGAAATACTTAAAGATACAGTAACTGTTACCCAAGAAGGTCCCAGTAATCATACCTTCAAAATTATATTCTAGTAATAGATTAATCACATAGAGATCCAGACACCCATAACGTCCTAATCAGGGAGAATAGTGCTCTGGTTATTGTGCCATGCAATGGCATCACAGTTGCTCATGGGTGACATAGATCTGAGCACAAATTGAAGACATGACTTCTACAATTTGGCATTTACTGTAAGGTAGGCTGTCTGATTCCAGTGGCATGGATATAACTTTTAAAAAGTGTACAAATAGTGAAAAGATTTGATTTGCTAACAATAAACAGACATAAAATCAAAAATCCCCAGTTGTGGTTTTAAAAAATAACATTTCCTCAGAGATCTAACCCAACACCTGTTTTAAGAGCTTCACAATTAGAGCATTGATTGAACATACTGCCTCAAAAGATCTTTATGCTAAGATGTGTACTTTGGGGAATGAATAAGGAACAGTGGATTAGCAAGTAAAGAGACTGAATAATTCAAATCTTCAAATCTCCCAGTAGCTTCCTTGATAGAATAGCATTTTCTCTCATCAAAATTCCTTACCTTCCATAAGGACAATCAAAATATTTTCACCTGGGATTGCTGCTACTCAATGGAATGCAGGTGTTCCTCAGGGCACATTATTACCATCTTTCTTTTTCTTAAAACCCATGATAAAAACTGGATCCATATCAAAAAGCCCAAGGCTTGTTCTTGGAAGAGAGAGTTTCTATATAAAGGAGTCACCATATTGAAAATTTATAGCACAAAGTATATGGCGAACAAACATGGATTTTTTACGAGTATTAGATTAGGACAGATGTTAAACCATGGGGACTGGATCAGACTGAATTCATTGATGTGTTTCCTCTCAGTATATGAGCTCTAATAATTTGGCCTGAGCACCTGGGAATGGTGTTATCCCTTTGCTGGGTTGGTTAATTAAAGTCTGAACTCAGTTGTGGCCTACAATTAATGAAGTAGAAATTCTCTGACTTGTCTAGCCTACTTAGAGAAAAAATGCAAAGGTTTAGGAAGGTGATTGTAAATAACTCTTTTATATGCAAACTTCTCAGACTACCTTTACTTACTGGAGACAGAGAACACTCCATTTATCTAGTTTATTAGGAAGCAAGGAGGGACAAACAGTTGGGAGTAAGCATAAGAAAGATTTGTTTCTTGATCCAATTGGGCACTACACCGGTATGCTTAGATACCCACAATTCAACAAGGTGAATATTTTTGACGTATGCATTTATTTTTTCATTATGATATAGGTCTATGAAAATGCTAAAATGAATTTGTGAACTGACGTATCCTTGAAAAAGGTCATTTTGTGACTGTTCTCTGAGGCCTGTGTGGTAGAACTATCAATGGAACTGGATTTTATGATTTTGTGAGGGTAATGAGATCCTGACAGGAATAAACCTAACACAATCACTGTGATATGTCGCTATAAGACTCTGGTAACCAGATTGTTTGTCCTGCTGTAATCCATGGATAATGGATGACAGAGTCTCTGTGAACTAAATAGCTGAACAGCCTTCTAAGGGGTTGTTTGGACAATGTAACTCAAAATGTTTGCTTGACAAAACTCAACATTACTTACTAGGGTGGATTCTCAGCCAAAAATTGTAAGAATTCTCTTTGAATTGTCTTCCCATAACATTCAGTGGATTGGCAAAAATAATCATATATATATATATATATATATATATATAAAATCTTCCAAAAATTGATGCTATGAATGAACATCACAAGTCTCTGAGGATACAAACCACTGAACATCAGAGTGGGTACTTACAGGATTCAGGCAGCATACAGAATCTTGTCCTGAGCCCATCTCACAGTGGTTCTAGGCTTACAATGAACACACTGAGGGGCCCTTTCCTCTGTAGAGTTACTGGCATAATATCTAGAAAGAAAAAATGGATCAATAGTGAATCTCTGAAGGAACTGCAAATATTACTTTCTCCAACAAGGATTTTATATTGTAGGTGTATTAATACATACAAAATTCCCCATTAATTCACATATTTGGCTAGTCTCAGAGACCTAGCCAGTATGGCATTGGGGAATACCTGTAGATTATTAGGTGGTGATATTCAGTATCCTTACTGGAGTACATCAGCCAGCACAGCATATCTAAATGCCCAGTAAATATTTTTTTTCCATTTTTAGTAACAAAGATAGTCCCAAGCACTTTCCCTTCGGTTGAAAGGAGAGCATTATACCAACACTTTCCTGAGTCAAGATTATAATAACTCTCTTGTTGAAATATAGTTCATAGTATTTTGACTGTTTTCTTCCTCACAGAATATTGAGCAGGTGGGAGGAAAATGCCATGAAAGTTCAGGGACTTGCCACAGCCATAAAGTCTCCTCAATTTCCTGGATATGGACTTTGTTGGTAACTATCCTGTGGAATGACAGAGCAATTAATACACTATTTTGCCAAATATCTAAAAAGTAGAACAAGTTTGGCAGAGCTGTTTATATTTTGGAGTCAATATGTGTCAGTCACCCTTGGAGTTCTGCTCACATCTGTACAAGTAGTCCATCGGTTTCCATATTTCAATGAGGACTGGAGAAGAGAGGAAGAACCATGGAATAGAAGATGTCTATGTAAATTGAATTTCTATCACAAACAGGCTGTAATATTTCTGATGAAACACAAAAATGAACATATATAGCAATGTTGTGCTCTTAAGTGGATATGATGAAGAGACCTGAGACAGGTCCAGAAAGTACACAGGACTGAGCATCATAAGGCACACGTAAATTATGAGTTCATGAAATCTGCACTTGCTTCTTGTCTACGTATCCTTGACTCCAGTTTTATAACTATGTAGAGTCTTCTGTGGTCAGTAATCAAAATAAAATAAAGTTCAACTCTGGTTTATTTAATGATCTGTGCAGTATGCTGGCACTATCTTAAAAATAAAACCACCACATACAACAATTCCACTTATGGATGTAGGATGACAGTAGTAAAGGACAATTCTCTCAATGGACATAACTTCAGGGACTATGTCTGATGAAATAAATTAAAATGGAATGAGATGGCCTGAGATATATACTTAGAGTGCTTAAAAAGCTATAGTTACTAGTGGTTTGGGAGGCTGAGGCAGGAGGATCACAAGTTCAAAGCCAGCCTTAGCAATGGTGAGGTGCTAAGCAATTCAGTAAGACCCTGTCTCTAAATAAAATACAAAATAGGCTGGGGATGTGACTGAGTGGTTGAGTGCCCCTGAGTTCAATCCCCAGTACCAAAATAAATAAATAAATTAATTAATTAATTAAAAAGTCTATAGTTAATGGGTTGTTTGAATTATAAGGGACTCTGAAAGAAAAGGGTTAAAATTGATAATAGAAAATTGATTAAAAATATACATAAATGATCTTACTATTAAAAGCAAAATTATGAACAAATTCATATTTTGCATAAATATTCAAAAAGCATCTTCCAAAGGAGAGGTTTTCAATGATCATATATCCAAAAGGGTCACTCTATAGCTATCATTCAGTGTCATTCTTGAAGCAGCTTATCCTGATCAATAGGACCTTGCGTGCATAAAGTGGCCATCAATATCTGATGTGCCTACTGCTACTTTGAGTCTCCAGCTCCTAATAGCAAAAGCTATTATTGAGGTTCTGAAAGGGAACCATTTTATGGAAGGACCATCTAACATCCTGGTGATATGCCTAGTATTTTAAATCTTATTCAGTAAAGGAAGTGATTTGTCCTTTTAGAATATGGACTGATTTTTGTAATCTCTACCCAAAACACTTCTGCAAATGCCACCATATTTGGACACATACCCTGTCTTATTTGTGGCCATTCTCTCCTAGGAAAGATCTTCTCGAAAGAGGAAGTGCTTTTTACATCAGTACAGATATGGCAAGGGGATGACACCCATGAGATTCACCAGCATCATTACCATTTACCATATTACTCAGAAATAACAAGCTTGAAGAGTAAAATGATCTGATGAAAATTCAGTTCTAGGTGAGATGCAGGCAGCATCCTAAGAGTCTGGCATGTCAATCTTCTGGATGTGCAGATCTTAAAATAGTGGCTCCTAGTTAATACTGCTGTCCAGGAAATGAGGCTTGGAGGCTGGGATATATCTACCCATGATTATAGCTGAAAGCAAAACATTTGCTTGATGTTCCTTCAAACAAATATTAAATGGTTTTAGAGGGTCTAGTCATAAAAATAATATTTTTTTCAATTAAATTGAATACTAAACTTTATCCCAAGCTATTTGTATTTCTTATGCTGCTTGAACAAATGGGAAGAGAATAGCAGATTTTCCTGGCTGGGGTGAATGATTGTGAGTACCATGTGGAAAGTGGACTATTGCTACAACATGGAGGGATGAAGGATTGTGCCTGAAGGCCAGTTTGACAGACACTCACACTTCTGTTCGAAGCTGACCTGCTAACTCAGTCACTAGCAGTCTCATGGACGGTGGGCATTCCTCATGTGTTCACTCTTCAAAAATTGCCTCATCAGTCAAGATCTATCTGAACTAAGCTAATGATTCTTCACTGGACATCAGACACCTGAAGTTTGACTTATGCATTCATATGCAAAAAAAATGAAACTAAGCAAAACATTTGTGCTAATCCCCAAAGTCAATTTGAAATATTAAATTTAAAATTATATATTTTTCTCCTTTCTTTTACTTTTGTGTGCACATATGTATATGTTTTATTTTTGTGGTAAAAAACATATTATATAACATAAAATTAACCATGTTGGCAATTTTTTTGTATACAGTTCAGTTGCATTAAAAACATTTGTTTTCAGTGTTGTGCAACCTTCACTAATAACCATTTTCAGAACATTTTTCATCATCCCAACTGAAAGTCTATATCTATTAGACAATACATTTCTCTTTTCCCTTCCTTCTGGCCCTAGTAACTATTTTTCTATTTTCTCTCTCTATGTATGTGATTATTCCAGGTACGTCATATGAATGGAATTTATACCATATTTCTACTTTTGTGCTTGGCTTATTTCACTTTTCAACGTGTCCCTCTGGGTCATTTATATTGCAGCATATACAGGAAATGCATTTCTTTTTAAGACTGTATAACACTCCATTGTATGTGTGCACCACATTCTTTGTCCAGTTATCTGTCAATGCACAGTAGAGTTATTGCTATCTTTTGACTCTTGTCATAGCTGCTACTATGAACACTGATTCACAAACATTTTGTTTATACTCCTGTTTAAGTTCATTTGTATTTATACCCAGAAATACAATTTCCAGATCATATGGCAATTCTGTTTTTAATTTTTTGAGGAAATGACTTGCTGTTTTGCACAAAACTACACCATCTTACATATCTACCACCAATGCACAGGAATCTAATTTCCTTCCATACTTTCCAGAAACACTAACTTTTTAAAAATAAATAATGATGTTATAATGTTGGCAATATTTAAATATAACTTATGGCAATGGACATAAAGTGCCACTCATTTTGATTTCTATTTGTACTTCCATAGTTATTAATAATGTTGAGCCTGGCTTCATGTACTTACAGGCCATTTTACATTTTCTTTGGAGAAATCTTTTATTTATTTATTCATTTATTTATTTATGCAGCTCAGTTTTAGGATATATGTATATTTTTTCTGAGTATTAATCCCTTATCAGATATGTGATTTGAAATATTTGTTCCCTTCTTATGGGTTGCTTTTAACTCTACTGTTATTATCCTTTTGTTAGGTAGACGTTAGACATAAGCAGTGGGTCAGGAGATTAATAAAATACTTAGTACAAAACAAATCAGTTAGTCAACAGCCCTGCCTCAGTGGCACCTCAAGGTCTGACAATAAATCTATTTCAAGACCCTTGTGTGATCTCAACCTTATAAACTATGCCTCTTAAACAAGAGGAAGATAGATAAATTCAGGGGAGGACAAAGGTGTGTTTGCTCAACTGCTAATTATTAAAACATCTTAAGATCCTACACAAACAACAGAGACCAACAGATTCTGAGACCTCTGAAAGCAAAAGGACCAAGATGGAGCCCACCAACTATAAATTCCTTAAAACCAGCTGTAATTCAGACCTGTCCACCAGGCCAAGATGACCAAACGTTGCCCTTGTGTTGTTAGCTAATGTAGTCTGTCAAGACAGAACTGAGAGGTGAGACTTGGGCAGGACCTTCTAACAACCCCAATAAAAGCTGGGACACAGAACGGTGATTTGATGTTCTCTAAGAGGCTCCCCTCTCTTCCTTTAGCACCCCTTTTTCTTCTAATAAACTTTGCTCTGCTCTTATTAAGTCTCATGTTTTGCTTGAAATCCTCTTCTGCAAAAGCACAAGAGCTGAGAACACAACCCAATTTCTGGTAAGATCTTCTCTTCATTATCACTTTGATGCACAAAACTTATTAATGTTTTTAATAGAATTGGGAGTCCAGAAATAAAACTTTATATATGGGCAAATTATTTTAAACAAGGGTACCAAGATCATTCCAGAAGGAAGTTTTACCCAAAGCTTTGTCCTTGTTCCCAATGCCAATCCAATCATGAGGACACCGATTTGAGAAAAAAGAAAATGAAGTTTTATTGCTTTGCTAGCAAAGGAGAAGCACAGGGTCCTCCTGTCCCAGAGGGCATAATTCTGACCATCAGGGTTTTTTTAAGTGGTGATTCAAAGGCTAAATTCAATGTGTTCTCTGTCCAGAGTTGTAATCCACTTGTTAATTTGGGAGATAGTCATATTCATCCCCACTATGAGGAGGTTGGCACAGCTCACCAAACAGAAGGTTTGCTTCTGCTCAATAGACACTTTTTAAGTATGTCTTTCCTTTAAGGTCCAGAGAATAAATAGAGAGAGAAGAAGGAAGTCTCAAGGTATACAGGGTTTTTTCCTATTAAATAAACATGGTAGCAAATGAATATTACCCATCAATTATAGGACTCTTTTTTTCCCCCAGTGGGATGAAATGAAAGAGATGTGGGGCACACAGGGGTAGGTCAGAAATTTAGGAATTAGTCTCATGACAGATTGCTCTATAGAGAGAGACATGAGGTCAGAGGACCATTCCACATATTAAGAGCATCTTTCAATATGTAAGCTACAAATACCCACAATTTAATGATTCTTACTGTCTCTCTTTAAAGGTATTATTATCTCCTCTTTGAATGCCAACAGTTATTAAAATGATGCAAAGTCATTAACATTAGGAAGAAGGAAGTACGCTTCTTTCATTAATAACCAATGGTAATGAACTTCAGCAAAACCACAGAACTGCTTTAATCTTTATATTTTCATAGCACTAATGTAAATGTTAATATAAATTCTATCCATGAAATTCCCATCAATTTTATCAACAGCCAACAGTCCATGTAATCAGAATACACTCTAAAGCCTTATAAACTCTGAAACTATTTCTCTATTTCTACTTCTGCAAAGCGAAGCACTTATTTTTACCCACTGAATAATCTTAAAGTAAACCAAGGATTTCCTTCTGAAAAACTTATCTACAATGTTCCTTTATGTGCTAGAATTAGAAGTTATAAAATAGAAAAATGAGAACAAAGCTTATCACTTCAGAAATTTACTTCATTTGTGCTACTGTGGGCTTGCTGCACTTTCCATAGGCCAACAATCTAGAAAGGAAAGGCTGATGGCAATAAGCAATTATGGACAAAGTTATTTTCAACTCCCAAATTGAGCTGAGCTGAGGCAGAAAATTTAGTTTCTATCCTGAGAAGTCATGATTTCTATCTGCACATCAGGGAGTGAAGGCTTTAAAGATGCCTCTATTTGAAATATTCACTTATTTAAAACTCATGCAATGCTAAAATTCTTGGTGTATTCTCTTTCTACACCCATTTTTATTTATTTTTTATTCTTTTTTTTAATTTTTGGGGGTAGTGGGAATTGAACTCAGGGACACTCAAGCACTGAGTCACATCCCCAGTCCTATTTTGTATTTTATTTAGAGACAGGGTCTCACTGAGTTGTTTAGATCCTTACTAAATTACTGAGGCTAGCTTTGAACTTGCCATCCTCCTATCTCAACCTCCTAAGCCACTGGGATTACAGGCATGAGCCACCTCACCTGGCTGTACTCATTTTTAGAAAGAAAGATAGCTGAGGAAAATGACTAGTCCTCATCATACAAGATCTTCATCATATGTATGAGCTTCTGTTTACAAATATGTTGTGGTTTGAATATGAGGTATTCCCCAAAGGCTCCAGTTAACATAGGAATATTCAGAGCTGAAATTATTAGATCAGGAAAATTGTAATATAATTATTGGAATTATGCATTTGATGGATTATTAGCCTGAATGGACTGACTGGACTGAGAGGTAATGATAGGCAGGTGGGGTGTGGCTGGAGGAAGTAGGTCACTGGGATTGTGACTGTGGTTTACATTTTGCCTCTGGCAACCTGCCCTCTGCTTTCTGACTACCATGAAATGAGCATCTTCCCTCCACTATGCCCTTCCCCCATGATGATCTGTCTCAACTTGCACCGAGAGCAATGGAATTAGCAGGCCATTGACTGAACCCCTTAAATTACAAGCCCCAAGTGAACTTTTCCTCCTCCAAGTTGTTGTCAGGTATTGGGTCGCAGTTTTAAACAGCTGACTAATACAAAACATAAATTGTTCCTATTCCTTTATCTGATTCTTGTAATTTATTGCTGTACATAAATCCAGGTCAAATTGAAAGAAATTGTCAAAAGATACTGCCAAAGTCTGGAGTTGGCACAAGATTCAGGAGGCACCACACAGCTTTGTAGGTTCAAACAGCAATTCTTTATTCCCGCTCTCACACCGCCTCCACACAGGTCCAGGGGCAATCACGTTCTGCCGTCTCCCACAATTCACCTACTCCACGAGGCTCTCTCCAAATCCCATTTTAATCTCACGAGAACTCAACAGGAACAAGCAGCAGGAACACCCTAATCCCAGCAATAATCTTCAACCTCTAACTTCCCTAAAACCCATTATCTTAAACTGGCAACGCCTTAAACTCAAGGAGCCGGTTACTTCCTCAAACCTGATCAGCTCTAAACCCGGATCCGCCTTGGTCCTTGAGCAAGGTCACCTTATTAAAGCATGCATGCAATGTCCCATCGAATGTCCTCTAAGCAGCATGGGGTACGCTTGGCAAGGAAATTTCGATGCGTCATTCCTACTTGGTAATGGCCCTCAGCAAGATACGTTTTGAAACAGTTTGTTAAATTCTGAATTTAACACGGGCTGTATGACATTTATTATTTTCTTTACAGTTTTGTGATTTTAACCCATTATTGGTCATATTGCTTAACTTTTCATCAATTCTTATTTTGTTCATCCTTATGCTCATTTCTCTGTCCTCTTTTCTGTATGCATGTGGAGAGAAAGAGATAGAGATAGAGAGAGAGAGAGAGAGAGAGAGAGAGAGAGAGAGAGAGCCTATGGATTAAACCATAAGACAAGGATCTGTTACATTTTTTGTTTTTCCTTCTTACTAAACATCATTTTATAAATCACTCAGCAATTCACTAATAATTTTGGAGGGCACTGATATTAAATGTTGTTCATAAATAAAGTTAATGACTGTATGTTATATCATTTATAATCAAAGGAATTTCCACTAGAATAACAAGGTAGAGCAATTAATAAGGGACTGTCATGGAATAATTGGCACTCCTGTACCATAGATCCTATTGGAATTTCAAAGAGTTTTCCATGAACATTTCAGAAGTGAATATTGAAAAATATTAGAAATGTGAATCAGTCCTTTCCTGAAAGAAAGCAAGATAGATAAATATTTTTAAAAACAGAGAAATAATACATAATGAGATGGCAAAAAGAAAGTGAATGTCTCTTTTCAACCAATCACTTAAAATTCTCAAATAACAGTATTTAAAGCTACAGACTACCAACATGAATATTAGTCACTAAAAATATTTCTTTTATAGAGAGTGAAGAAACTGAGGGTTTTTACCTTGTATTTGTCTCAAATGCAACTTTGTCTTTATTTGTTAACTTTCCTCCAGTAACTCAAACTATGGCATTAACAGAGAAATATAAAATGTTAGAAAAACTAATTATTCTAATAAATTATTTCTGTGTTAACTAGTAGTAAGTCCCAAATCTTGCTACCTGAGTGCCCTGATCCAACATTGACATGAAGCATTTAAAAAGTAGAGCGGGAAGTAAATGAAGATAATTCCCTGAATTTATTCCTAAATCGAATATATTGGAGTATGTGTACCTGGGTTTTGTTTCACTCAGGAAATGGCACTTTTCCCAGTTTCATAATCTGGATACTTCTCTACTTCTCACTCTTGTTTGCCATATTACCAAGACTGACACGTTTATTTGACACATTTATTCAGTCTGTGTATTTAAATGCTGGCTCTCTTCCTGTAGGAGACAAAAGATAAGTAATGACATTTAACATAGTATATGTTAGAAATGTAAGCATTTTTATTTTACCACGAGATGAATAGGTCACTAGGATAATCAGATATTATAATTTATGGATATTTTCTAGCTTTCTTACAAGTGGACTTTATTCCTCTTGCCCACTAGTTCTTTTCACAGATAGAGATGAAATTTAACTTATATACTGGTGGAAGCATTATTGGAGCAGGTAAAGGTGTGTGCTTACAAAATCCTCCATATCACTTCCTTCCTTTCCTTCCTTGAAATCACTGATTTTATACTTTTGTTGTTCCATTAAGAACTAGAATTATTATTTTTTTAATGTAGCTATGCATGCTTGTACAGCTTTGTTAATAATTCTTTTTTTCAGTTACATTTAAAAGCTGTTCACAGCAATAAAAATTGAATTTCAAAGAGTTTTGTGGTATCCTATGGCATTCCCAACCACACAGTTCTCAACTCTTCTCTTCAATCCCAGTACATATGAAGCATGTTATGTGTTTCCTTAGCAACAGTGGTTACACATTTCAACAGGACATCAGGGTCAATTTCAGGACAAATTCTCCTGAAAGGAAATGACCTTCTGAGTTTGATGGTGGCTGACGAAAGACTAAGAATTTGGTAAAATTTCTTCAACAGCTTTTGAAAACACTACCCAATGTCATTTCAATAAGCTTACTTGATTACTAAAGAACTCGTTGAACTTTTGGAAAGCCTACAATAGATATTTACTTATAACTGTTCTCCAGTATGTTGGTAATTTTCAATATTGCATATATTACATATTGCTTGTTCAGGAATTTCAGTTGAAATACAAATAAACAAAAAATAAAGTTATGAAGAAGTTAAAATTAAAATATGAGTACTAAAAATACAACAGGAATCAGATATAACTCACCAATTCTGACCCTTTACAGTTCTTGTCTTGGGCATTGTAACATATTTCCCAAGCCCTTGTAATCCTGTCTGTCCCAGACATTATTAGGATGTCTGCATTTTTATAAACTACATGTGTTTATGTATCAATATTAAGAAACTAATGACCCCAAATCTTTCAGCATTACAATGTAGACATTAGCTCCATTTCTTTAAAAAAAAAATTGTTCTAATTAATTATGCATGATTGTAGAATGCATTTTGACACATCATACATAAATGGAGTATAACTTCTCATTCTTCTGATTGTACAAGATGTGGAATCACACAGTTTGTGTAATCATATATGTACATGGGGTAAGGATGTTTAATTCATTCTACTATCTTTCCTGCACTCATGCTCCTTCCCCTCCTTTCACTCCTGCTCTGCCTAATGCAAAGTACCTCTATTTTTCCCTACCCCCCGTATTGTGAATTAGCATCCACAGCTCCTTTCCTTTTTACCTACCACAGCCTTGTACACTGAATAGCTATTTAGCTTCTAAAAAATGCTATGATGGTACAGCATTAATTACTACTCTGAAGACTTATTCCTTACTTGCTGAGACTTCTGTGTCCTCCGGGATAACTTCTCAGTTCTGAATTATTTACAATTCTCAACTCCATATCAGTACTGTGTTTTAAGTATCTTTCACTTGGAGTAAATACTTTACCACATTATATCTCTAACAATGAAGACATTCCTGAATTTGTTTGACAATCAATTTTTTTTTAAAATTTTTAGTTGTCAATGGATCTTTATTTATTTACATGCAGGGCCGAGAATAGAACCCTGTGCCTCACATGTAATAGGCATTTGCTCTTCCACTGACCCATGACCCCAGCCCTTGACCATCTATTTTTACAAAGCTTTTACTGTAAATAATCAAATCTCCTATTTTAGTGCATTATAGTCCCTTTCTGATCAAATGTATGATCAAAGGTAAATTACAAAAAAATAGTTATTAATAATCTACATGTTTGAAAATGCTCATTTTCTTTGAGAATTTTGTTAACTGTATTGGTAAAATGGATGAAATTAAATGTGTTATTTATAGCTAACATAAAGTTGTTGCTGAAACCAGGTTTTCTAAAATCATATTAATTTAGTAAACAGAATAAAATCACATTAAAATGATGAAAGTGGAACTATTATAATCTGTATAAAAATGTTCATGCTGAAACTAGCACTTAGCAGAAAATTTAGGTATATATGTGTTTTACATATATATATATGTTTATGCATAAAACAGTATCCAAAGGGATTTTGTTTTCTACATTATAGTGTACTACTAGTAAAATTTATCTTTAATTCTGTTTTATCCAAAACCAAAACATTTTAAAACCTATTAATAACCTGGGGAGATCAATATTAAATGTATTAAACTATTATTTTATAGAATTTTTTATTTTCCTCAGTGATTTGCAAGCCTCAGTCTTTTGCATATTATCTTTAAATTTTTTCCATATACCATTTAAATGAAAATCACATTAGTTTTTTGTGGGATTATCCTAAATATTAATATCAATGTAACTGTAAAGTCTTTTTGGTAAGTTATAGTTTGTGTGTATATAAGTAAAACTAATATATAACTATTAAAATAAATAGACAATTATAAAAATTAAAGAGTTTTACCTATGTATTGTGTAAATAATGTATTGTGTAAATTATTCATGTGCCATTGAGAAAATATAAGTTTCAGGAAATGCAATGGGTGATTACAAATGATTTTTTTTTAAATCAGGAATACAAGAATGATGCATCAGCATTTATATACAGTCAACTAGGACAACATCAGGTAGTTCCATTTGAATGAAACACATTTAGCATTCTAGTTAATTTGAGGAAATGCCATAGGATATAACGTCACATCAGTGTGTGACTCACAAACCAAAGAAGGACGTCCAATAAAGATATTTTTCACATTAGAAAGGCGAACAACATTAATGAGGTCAGCAGAGCACAAAGTAGATAATCTCATAAAATCTACTTATCATCTAAGATCCAACAAAGCTTTCTTAGGCTCTGTATTTAAACATCCAAAGACACAGAGTATAGATTGCATGAGATGAATTGGCAGTTTATGAGGGCGTGATGTATTGCCTCATACATACACACATATCAAATTGAATATATCAATAATCAATTTCAAGAATTTAAGAAAAATAAAATTTATTTGTTAAATTTGTATCCTTTTAAGTAAAATTTAATGAAAAACAATTTGAAGTGCAAAAACATTTTTAAAGTACCAAAAATCAATATCCAATATCTTCAGGAAAGACTATATTCTAGAGTTTTTTCAACAGATCAACTAAATAATAATAAAGAAAAATAAATCCACCAAATCAAGAAAAATATTTGTGGATAAACTTAGGGGCCTCTGCAATAAGATCCAACAATGTTGGACTATATTCCAAAAGTATTTTGATAGCAATTTAAATTTGACAAATAACACCTTAAAGAACTTTTAGATGCTTTCAAATGAGTCCCATTTTTCCCCTCATAGCTCTTTTAGATCCCCAAATTTCCACAAATCTAATTCTACAGACTCTTATTATGCTTTATGTTGTATAGTTTCTCACAATGAAGATATCTTACTGACTTTATATGCATGTACAGGTGCGCATGTATCAGGCAGCATGCTATGCCCTCATAAACTGCCAATTCATACAGCAAATAGTGCAGCATCTTTACTTAGAGTCACTTCAATACAGAGAAAAAGCAATTGTAATTTTTTCAAAGATTTTTCTGAGAATGTAATTTTGAGCATAATTTTTTATTACAGACAGATAAATTTGATGAATGTTCAATGCTATTTTTGATCTAGATATGAAATGGTTATAAAAAGATTCTTAATTGTATAATATGATGAAATATAAGGATCAAAATTCAATTTCACAGCCATATGGAACTGGATTTTCAGCCATATAGTCTCAAAACTCCACAGTGATATGGAATATTAAAAATAATCAAACACCTCTAGCCATTGTAATGGTTCAACTAAAGACCTATTAGCTTCAAAATTTTTGTGTCAAAAATAATATTAGAAAATCATACAAGCTAAGATTAATGACTAGAAGAATGAAAAATAAAATAAAAATAAGTGTTATTTTTACATACATGTCTATGACAAAATGATAATTATAGTTTTAAATATTTATATTGACTACATTAAGTTGAATGATAAAAACATATCCCAAATGTATTTTGATAGCAATTTAAATTAGTTCTAATTTTTAAAGCAATAAATCAGGAATTTAGGTAAAAAAATGCCTTTTAAAAATAAATGCCCATAGATTGCCATGTTTTCTCTATCTTGATTTTGAGTGTTTATTTCTCATGTACAATTGCTCAGTGAAGACTTCAAGAACTCTTCAGTTGACTTTTCAAGGTGAATATAAAATTAGAATCAAGAGAACTAAAATTACAATTTTCCCTTAGAGTTTCCAATTAGTAATTTTTACATTCAAAATAATCAAATCAAATCTACATTACATGCCATTGCCCTAAAGATTTTAATCATCTCAGTAGGGTGGAAAATGCAATGATGTTTGGCTTCACCAATAATTAAGATAAGCACATTCTTGTTGAAAATGTCTGCTTCCAAATATTCTGACTCAATATTATTGGAAATCTTTTAATTTTAAATTAGTAGGGTAAAGAAGTATTAAGATATCTGAGAGGCTAACATTAAATATTACAAATAGAAAGAAAGTTGATATTTTTCTTTAATTAGGGCCATCATGTTTGTGATATTGACATCAATGTTCAGCTTCCAAATTGGACTTTATCTTTATTTCTGGCTAGAAATGAAAAATCTAGCATGTTTAAGATCACATAATTACAGGATTTGAAGTGGGAAAAAGGGAATTATCCAGGCCAACTTCTACGTTTCTTTAGAAGAAGGAATGGAAACAAAATGTATATGTAAAAACTAATCTAGGTTCTATTTTGTAGTACATCTGCATTGATTTTTGGCTTCTGTATCTTTTCTAAACTTTTTTTTTTCTGCAACCATCCTCATCTTCTCATTGGAGGAAATGAAACCTTTGTTACCTTTGCC